CAAGTTCTGAGATGGTGAGAGGATGGGTTTTTCTTAATAGTAGCAGGAAGATGGGTGAGTTGCCAAGAATTTTGCAAACCACACACAATCTATTTGCTTCTGGGAGTTACCAAGACGTGGGAGAAACTGACATAGGGCTTTCTCGGCCAGAAATAGCACTTGAAGAGGTCTCACTCACTGAGTGTGGGCTGCCTGCTGTCACGTGCGTGCAGCAAGGTGGGCTTGGGGAGAGCGGCAAAGCTTCGGGGCCCATGGCACCCTGGCCCAGCCCAGCCAGCACTGCAGTCCAGCTTGTGACCCCCAATGTGAGGCCCATCTCTAGGAGCCTCGGCCTCCTCTTCTATAATTTGGGGAATGAAATGAAGCCTAGGAAACCATGTAGAAGATATAGACGGGGTAGGCAATCAACAGATGTTGCTTCCCTGTCGGCCTCATCAACGGCCGCCTCAGCCTAGCCGCCGACCAATCTTCAGCCTCGCCTCTGGTACAGAGGCCCCGTGGATGTCAGGAGCTGAGAGGGGGCCTGGGGGGCCTTGGCCCCTCGGAGCAGTGAAGCAGGTTGCAGCCCTGTGTTTGCAGATGAGAGCACAGGGCAAAGCCAGTGTGAGACCCAAATGTTCCTCTACGTCCAGCTCTTCACCCTGGAAAAGTGACCTCCCCGGTTTCTGGGAGAGAAAGGGAAGAGGGAAAGCAGAGGAGGACGCCAAGTCCCGCACGCAGGTTCACGCATCACAGGGCACCCCCAAAGGGACCATCACAGAGAGCCCTTGAGGGAGGAAAGGCAGGGAGAGGGCCAGGTGGCCTGGGCTGCAGATGGACACGGAGCCAGTCTCAGGAAGCAAATGCCATGCTGGGCAGGGTCTAGGAGTTCCCTCAGAACCACCTTCGAGTCTTACCTGGCACGTGTGCAATCCACACGCCCCCTCCCCCGTGACCCCGGCCCCTCCTGCATCCAGGCGGCTCTTCTCCCTTATGTCTAACTGAAACCATTCCTGCTGCATCGCCAACTGTCCCGACGGAAGAGCGAGGAGCCCGCCACAGCCCTGCCCAGCCCTCTGCAGAGCTGTGGCCGCTCCGCTCAGGGCGGTAATCCCGCTGACAATTAATTGGCTCTTGTTGGAGGAGCATGAATACCATCTCATCTTAATCTTCTTCATTATTCTCCTTGTTCAGCAGAGTCAACACAAGATTAGGTTTAATTTACAGGGGAGGGGGGGATAGGAAAGCCATTACTCACCAGCCGATTGAGATTGCCTCTGCCTGGGTGTCCTGTGTTCACTGCAGGCAGGAGGCCACGAGAGAGGCCTGAAGGGCTCATCCTAGGTGGGGGCCTGGTGTGGGGGGGAGGGGCAGCAGGGTCTAGGTCCCAGATTTAGGTGGGTCTGGGTTCCTGGAGAACACCAGCTCATTCTAGACTTACAGGACTTAAGTCTCATTGGACCCAGCCTCTGAGTAAAAGCAGCCCCCAAATGAAGCAGGAGCCTCAGATCCTCACCCAGACTCAGCCCTAGGACGTGGGAAGAAAGCAGGTTTGGGATTCGAATCCCACCCCTGAGGCCCCTTCCTCTGCCCAGAGGTGGGGACTCCCTTGACAATGCTGACACCTAGTGGTGACCGAAGGAACTGGTCTTTCCTTCCGTCTGGTCCTCAACCATGTACCAAGTCCACAAACCCCCGCTAGAAAAAGTAAATCAACCAGAAAAGGGAAGGAAAAAGTTGTTCCACTGAAAAATGCTTCCATAGAGGGCCCCACTGTGAAACCTCAAAAAATCATCTTAGCTCCCCATGTCCCTTAACCAAAGTGGCCCAGGAAGACTCAGCACCCCTCCTCCAGCCTGGAGCAAAGATGGAGAACCCTGGCACCCAGGGCCTGAGCACTGCAACTCCCAGTCCCTGGGCTCTGCCCATGCCCGCCTCTGACCCTGTGCCACAGTGAAGTAGCTAGCACGTGGGCTGGACATTCTGCTCAGCTGGGTTGAACAGCCCCCAGCACTCTCTTGAATGACCCTGGGGAGTCACCCAGCATCTCTGAGTCAGCGCCTTCATCTGTAAAGTGGGAACGTCTGTGTCTACCAGAGAGGACTCTGAGCAGATTAAATGAGCCAGTGTCACACACGCCTGTCACAGCCCCAGTGTCACACACGCCTGTCACAGCCCCCTCAGCATCGCCACCGTGTTGCCGCCGTCCCGGTCATCCTGTTTATTACTCTTGGGAAGTTTGTTTCCATCCACTAGGCTGTTGCTCCTCTTCCCCAGCTCCTGCTAAGCAGAGGGAAGGTCTCTTCCTAGAGGAAACTGATACACCTGCTGCATGTACTGTCTGCACCCGCTAGTGCCGAGCACGTAGTAGGTCCTCAAGAAACTCACAACTGCCTACTTATACCTCCAGCTCATGTTGGCCGCTGCCCACTTGCTCAAGAGCGCCAGTTGTGCTGCCTGCCTTTCTGATGTGTCAGTTCATTCCTACCTCAGGGCCTTTGCACTTGCTGTCCCCACAGCAGTCCTTCCCCAGAGAGCTCTGTGGCTGCTTCCCCCTCACCACCAAGTGTCACCTCCTCAGAGAGGTCCTCCCAGATCACTTTGACCAAAGTAGCACTCCAGTCCTCTCTCTCTACTTTGTTTACAATAACATAAAGGTCAAATGCCTACACAGCTGGGTAGAACTCAAGTCCGCCATGGGCCAGCTGTGTGGGCTCAGGCAACCTCTCTTTCCTCCCGTTTTCTCATCCATAAAAATGGAAGTAAAAAAAAAATGGAAGTAATAACAGTTTCACTTTATAACGTTATTGTGATCTATGTTGGAAATTATTTTATTCACCTAGTTAGCTGTTTGTGACATGTTTCACCATCTAGAATGTATATTCCAGGAGGGCGGAGTTCTAGTCCGTTTAAAGCTTGCCTGGCAGATAGTAGTTGCTCAATAAATATAGATTGCAAGAAAGGCGCTTAGGTGGCAGCACGGGGTCCCGAGCGCCCCCTGCTGGACATGTGTGTGTTTCTCCTTGAAGGAAGGAGATGGCTTTCCCCTATGGGGGGGCTCTGCTTTCTGGGGTGGGGAGCAATGATGTTCAGGGATGAGAGCACACACTGTAGGGCCAGGTGCTTCTGCGCTGGAACTTGAACTTCTCCAGTTTTCGTGTTTCACGTGCCAGGAAAGTCTTTCATTCTCCCGTGCAGAAGGGAGAATGCCCTCTACTCCTGCCCCCTCCTCTGGGATATGGGGGTGCTGGCACAGGGCCTGCCTGTGCCCCATAGGCCTGTTGTGCCCATCTCCTCCTGCTGCTTCTGCCCTGTGATAAGCTGGAGCAGCTGTCTCACGTTCCTGAGCTAAACAACAGTGTTGCATCCAACTGCCCCCCCCTCGGTGAGAGGCACCCCATTAGCTGAGCTGAAGTCCTGTCTGTGGGGTCCACACCTGAAGAGAGACCACAGCAACAGCCTCAGGGCAGAGACTGTGGCCTCTGGACGTCTGGCGCCTGCTGACAGCTGGCCCGCGCTGGTGACGGCTCCCTAGGCTGGCCACGCACACCTCCCTGGCATCTGTGTCCCCTGTGTGGCCCTGAAGGCTGAGCTTTCCTTGGCACCCGCCTGCCTCACTCTACCTGCGCCTGGCCCTCGCCAGTGCCCTTTGGCTGTTGACCCCACTGCCACACCTGACTCCCCAGCACAGAGCTAGAGCCCCTCGTGAGCCTCTTTCCTGAATGCCTGAGGGGAGCTCCCCTCCCTGCCTCCCACATTCCCACCCTGCCATCCAGTCCTCACAGGCTGGCTTCCATCCGCCAGCCTCCTCCTGTAGACCCCCCATTGGGTATCGTCCCCCCTGACATTCCCATGTGGCTCTCACAGGTCCATCTTGTTCTCTCGCCCCAAAGCATGGCCTTCCTGTTACCCCTTCACTTAAACCCAGGAGCTCAGGGGGTGAGCAACTCATGTGGGTGAGGAGGCCTTAGCCACTAGACTGAAACCCCCAGGAGGGCCCAAGGGTGCCCCCAGGCAGAGACTGCACCTCCACCTTCAGACTGGGAGTCTCAGAGGTCAGGGCTCGGCTCCCCAATCAGGCTGAGGGGGGCTCCAGTGTAGCTGCAGTCCTCTACCCTTAGGCTGGAGGCCCCCAGGACACAGGTTTGACCCCTTCCCAGCATGCCTTGCCCTTGACCTGGCCAGGAACCTGACATCTCCTGTTACTGTCTTACTCGCCCCTGTTACTTCAGGGCCAGGTCGGAGTTGGGGCTTCAGGACTCATGAGTGAGAGAATAAACCAATGAAGACGAGCAGGCAGGCCACATCTCAGGCCCTGGCTACCCGTGACCAGCAGGTGGGCAGCATAGCGTTAGACTGGAGGGAGGGGATACGGTTTGGAGACCCTCGACCTTGGGGCCAGCAGCTGAGCATCCTGGGGAGGGACTGGGTTTGAGAACCAGTGGGAATTCTAGAGTGTGGCTGGCACAGAGCCTGGCACCACAGCGGCTAGGGCCAGCCTCCAGGCAGGGCATGGAAAAGGACCAAGGGGACCAGATATTAATGACACTCATGGAATCCAACAACAGACAAGGAGGACCGCGTGACGTGCCTGCGGACCGAAGAGGAACACCAAGCTGACCCTGCCTGTGCTCCCCCACCTCCCCTTCTGCCCTCACCCCAGACACTGGCATCCATGGGAGTGGGGGCGCGGGGGATCCCTACCCCAGATAAGATGCTGCTGCCCTCACCCATAATCTTGGCTTCAGAAAGGGGCCAGGAGGGCAGCTCCCACCTCACACGGTGCTCTGGTCCCCGAGCAGCTAGGGTGTCAGTCAGGCGCCAGGCCCGGCTCCCCCCGCCTCGGCCTCACAATCCCAGCCTTTGTGCAGCCGGCCCAGGTCTGGCTGGCTCCCACCGGGCCAAGGGCCCCGGAAACCAGAGCTGCTGGCGCCTCACCAAGTATTTTTCCAGACTGGGCCAGGGGCCTTCAGGAGACAGAGAAAGATGCAGCCGAGGGGGCGGGAGAGTTCATTCATCCGTTTGTTCATTCATTCCTTCCTCGGACAAATAACATTTATTGAGCGCCCAAACTGCGCAGGCGCAGTACGCGGTGCAGGGATCCCTGGGGTGGGCCCAGCCCAAGCCCACGCCTTCTCCCGTCTCATTTCCCAGAGGCAATATACGCCAACAAACCCTCTAGCGCGAGGACTGGGCTTGGAGTAAGGGGCCTGGAGAGGAGGGGGGTGCACTGGCGGGGGGGGGAGGCTGCTACTGCTAAGGCCAGTCTACCCGCCTTTGGGGCGGCGCGGAAGCTGGAAAGGGGTCATTCAGGGCTCCACCCACACGCTGCAGTTGGTCACCCGGGCCCCGAACCAGCCCTTCCAGTAGACCGTGTCCTGTCCCGCATGCTCGAAGCGAACGAAGCGAACACCGGGCCCATAGTCGGTGAAGGTGTGAGAGATCTGGGGGGTGGGGGTGGCGAGGAGGAGGGAGGGTTAGGCTCGGGGCCCTGAGACCTCCCCTCGTCGCCCCACACCGGTGCACTGACCCATGACTAGCCCTCCTCAGTGTCTCAGCCCAGTATCTCTCCACCGCTGCCCTCTCCAGTCCTGGGGCCCCGCCCCACGTGGTGGGCGTGGCTTCCAGATGCCCCGCCCCTGAGCTCAGGCCCCGCCCCACGCCTGCTGGCTCACCTCCACCCAGCCCGCGTCGTTGTCCTGCGGCACGGCCACCTGCCCGCTGTTGAACTCGGCCAGCACGTCCTCGTGCTCCGACAGCAGCTTCACCGTGAGCTCATACAGGCAGCCCGCGTCGTTGCGACCTGAATACCTGCCCCCGGGGAGGACGCGAGCAGAGGCTACAGGCAGGATCTTCCGCTGCTCTCCCCAACCCCTCTCCCCGTGTCCTCATTTTAGAGTTAAAGAAACTGAAGCCAGAGAGCGAAATTGACTCCACCAAGGTGCAAGCCCAAGGTCTAAACCCCAGTTAGGTTAGACGCAAAGTTGGATCAAAGCCAGCCCGGAGACACTTGTTCTTTGAGCCGCAGGCACATTTAAAAAGTAAAATTTGCTAACATTTAAGATTCAGAACAGGAGGCGGATTTCCACCTACTGTAACCCGGTGGCCCGGGTGCCCCAACCACTTGGGAGGGAGCCCCAGAGGCTGGAAAGTGGGCTCCAGCTGGCCTCCACCCAGCCCACGGTCCTGGCCCGGCCCCGCCCCGCAGCTGCTCACCAGTCCTTCACCACGATGGCCGGCTGGGTGGTGTCCAGCAGCTCTTCCCAGTAGCCCTCGGCCTGCAGATCAATGACTTGGGCTTTGCGACACCACCTGGGGGGGACTGGAGTCAGGCCTGAGCGCAGAGCCCCCCTCCCACCCACCCCCACCCCTCTGCTCCTTACTCAAAGGAGGAGGCAAAGCACTTCTTGACGGCCTCGTCGTGGGTGAATTCCACCCCGCAGTCTCCAGGCAGCTCCTCCACCCGCCAGCCGTCCCCACCGTGCTCCACGTCGCACCAGCCCTCCAAGTCCTCTGTAGGGACAGGACACCCCCTGGTCACCCAGTCCTCTCGCCCCTGTAGTGGGGTGGGATGCATGTGGTGCCCTCATGGTGCCAAGGTGAGTAGACCGTGGCGGGTGTGTTAGGCACCTGTTTGCCGCCCCACCCCCACCCGCGCCATACACGCAGCCTGGCCAGTCCCAGCTGGCAGAGGGGGGAAGATGGGAAGACGTGGGGAGAGAACGCCAGGGAGCAGGCAGCTGGGGACACACCCGTAGCAGTTGGTCCGTGAACAAACGGGGCCTGCGCTTTTACAGAGGGGTGCCTTTACAGACGCTCAGCTTGCCGGGATGCCAGGGCATTGGAACCCGGTCTAAGAGCGGCATCTGCGGGGTTGCGACTGGGGGCGGGGATACAGCACTGTCGGCGCCCCCCCACCCCCAACTGTTCAAGGATCCACTGTACAGTGTTTACTGGGGTTACTCTGTGGGGGCACTGTGCCAAGCCCTTTATCTCATGTAACCCTGCAAGCAGGCTGGCACTGTTCGGACCCCCTTTACTGCAAGGGAAGCCGAGCTCGCCGCAAGCCCTCACCTTCCCCGCACGGGTTGCGCAGCAGGTTGCGCCGCCTCTTGCTCAGGAAGTAGAACTGCGGCCAATGGTCGCGCTCGTCCTCCGCGCCGCCCTCGGGCACCAGCCCCTCCTGCTGGCACTTGAGCAGCCACAGGGGGGCGCCGTCCACCAGCTCCTTCCAGCGCAGGCACACCAGGCGGCACGCGCGCACCAGCTGGGCGGCCGGCAGCTCCGCCAGCACGCGCAGCAGCAGCGGCTCGGGCAGCTCGTCCAGGTAGGCCGCCGCCGCCGCCTCCCCTTCCTCGTCCGGCCGCTCCTCCCCGGCGCTCTCCTCCTCCGCGCACGCCCCCTCCGGCTGCTCCTCCAGGCTCGCTTCCTCGGGCTGGCCCACGCTTTCTAGGGGGGCGGGGGCTCCTGTGACTCCCTGCAGAACTGCGACGAGTAGAGGAGCTGCCCCCCACCCACCACCCAGCTCCGACAAGCAGTGGCTGGGGCCACAGAGGCTGTGGCCAGAGGCTGTGCTCCCAGGGGCCCGGGGCCGCAGACCAGCCCCTAAATACCAAGGGGAGCAGCCTCAGATTCCCCTGCAGAGCAGTAAACTCCGTGCCTGAGCAGATAACAGCAAGTGATTATCCGTGGCCTCCCTAAATCTTCTCACAGGGTCTCGTCTGTCCTTCCAAACCCCCCTGAAATCCTTGTCACTTTCACCTCCTCAAGGAAGCCCTCCAGGACTCCCCCATCACACTGAGCCAGAGTTCCTGCCTACCTAGCTCTGGCTCTATCTAGGGTGTGACGTTTGAAGGGTGCCTTTCTCAGGGTGAGACCGAGAGCATGAGGGCAGGAGTAGCCCCAGGAAGGGCGATGTCATTCACGGTGCCAGGACCTGGCACCCTGCCTGGCACATTGGCAGCCGCCAGTGTTTACTGGGCACTCAGCAAGTGTTCAGGGCTGGTCTGAGCATTTTCATTTTAGAGTCTCTAAGTGCTCACAGCACCTCTGGAGGTCATTCCTTTTGCTATCCCTATTTAATGAGGGGAAACTGAGGCACAAGGTGGTGAAACAGCTCAGAATCACACAGCAAATGTGGCTGGGGCCGCCAGTTGATGCCAGGCAGTCCGGCTTCAGAGTCACCTCCCACCCCCACCACCTCCATAAAGCATTGATTGAGGAGGCCTCTGGGGTTTTGATTTTGCAGATAAAAATGCAGGCTCAGAGATGTGAAAAGGACACTCCAAAGGTCACGCTGCTGGTATTAGGGCCGGCTGCTGGGGACTGGGAGCCTGGGGTGGGGAGAAAGGTTGGGGCCCCTGCTATCAATGCCCAGCGCAGTTGTGTGACTTGGGGAGCCTCGAGGGACTCCTTAAAAGAGACCCTCCCTGGTGGCGCAGTGGGTTGGAGCACTGCACTGAGAAGCAAGCCATGGTCGCTTCAGTGCAAGTTCAATCCCTGCCCCAGAGCTGACCCACATGGCGCAGCAGACCTCTCCTGTCTCCCCGCTGCTCCCCTCAGCAATGTACTTTGTCGATCTGCCAGTTCTGCTCCCCACTCTGTTTCTGGTGAGTCCTCTTGCTGCCCCTGCACCTCTGGCCTGTGCCCATTTCTGTATGCATGAATAAATAAAATCTAAAATAATAATAATAATTTTAAAAATAATAATAATATAGAGACCCTGCCTATCAAACAAGGAGAAAGTTCTGCTTGGGAAAGGAAGGTTTCTTCACCCCTTTTATTCCTATCCCTGGCCCTCTGTTTTCTCATCTATCAATTGGGATAATCCATTCAGCCTGTGCTCAGGATGGGCCAGACAAGAAAACTGTAAGGAGGGAGAGATATTCCAGAGCTGCAGGTTGGTCTGCTGCTGGGCCCCAGCTGGCCTCAGCTGGACCATGGCTCCCTGGAGTAAGCAGATACCAAGTGCCCAGCGACTGTGGAGGAGAGAGAGCCAGTGGGGAGGAGCCGGGGCCTCCCCCAGTGGTGGGGGAGGCCACAGCTCTGGACGGTTTTCTGGGGCAGGAAGCTGGAAAGCCAAGGTGGTGGGAGAAATGGGTACTGGGGGAGGTGACAGGCCTAGACCCAAATGTGGGTGTGGCCAGGGCCTCAGCCTGCCAGCCCTTCACCTGCACCCATAGCACCTGTCCCCCTCCCATGCAGCGCCACCCTGAGCGAATCAGGGTGTACCTCTCAGACCCCAGGGCTCACAAGGAGTCCTTGGTAAAGCTTATCTGGTAAAGTCTTATCAAGCACAGCCTTTTTCTCCACTATTACAGATTACCTCCCTCTCCCCCCACCCGGCTCCATCTGAATGATGTGGGGATTTACCCTCTTCCTTCTGGTAAAGAGCAAATGGAGGCCCAGAGAGGCCTACCGGTTTCTCCCAAGTCACCCCCAAAAGAACAGTGGGAAGGCAGAGAGGAAGATGCCAGGCCCCGGGGCCCCAGCGCCTGCCTCTGCTGCCCACAACTCTCGGGGGAGCTGGGCCCAATGCCCTCACCTCGCCACCCCTCCCTCTGCCCTGCCCTGGCCCCGGGGGATACCTGATGCTCCTCCGAAAGGTGTACCTTGCTGGGTCCTCCCTCCCGGCCCCAGGCCTGGCACTTGAGGCCCCAGATCTGATTACAGGCCCCCCACCCCCTATTGAGCACACACAACTCCCCACATTGTTGCTGTCGGAAAGTTATCTGGCTTTTGGAAGCTGCCGCTGAGGCTAATTCACTCACCTGGATTGGGCCCTGGAGGCCATGGAACAACTGGGCCCTGAGAAAAAGCAGGAGCCCCTTTGCCCTATAAGGGTGTGGCAAGGGGACCACCGATGGAAGTGGGCTGAAGAAGATGTGATTTCAGGGCTGGGAGAGGGGGAGTTGGCTACCTGAGAGGGCATCCATTTCCACTGCATTCCCCCAAGCAATGCCCACTCCAGAAAGTCCTGGGGAGGAGAGGTGGGGGAGCCAGCAGGCAGGCAGCTCCCGCCCTGACTCAGCAGGCAACTCCTCAGGCCCAGCAGAGTTAGGGGGGTTGCGGGGAAGGGTCTTTGGTACCAGGCAAGATGACTGGGCAGTCTCTGAGGGCCCTGAGCATAAGGCTGGCACCCCAACTCTCCCTCACCGCTCGCCTGATCCCCACCATCCAGCCACCTCCAGACAAGGAAGCCCACAGTGAAGGAAGGCTACGATGGGTTGGGGAGAAAGCAGTAACCCCAAGAAATCCATGGGGTTTCAAGCAGCTCTTGGCCAAAGCTAGTGAACAGAAGTTGGGGGAAGTGAAAGGCCTGTAGCCTCCCTGAATGGAGATGCATCCCAAACCCCCCAAACCCGGGCCCTAGCCCCTCCCGGAGGAGGATGGCAGAGATGTGGGATTACCCCATGGCTCCTGGGAAAAGGGGACCCAGGAGTTCTCCCTCCCTGTCTGTCACCTCTCCAGGCCTCCCGAAAGACCGGGACAGCAGCGGCCTGTGATCTTTGGAGATGGTCTAAGGGTTTGCTCGGGTGGAAGTTTGCCGCGCTGGATGGGAGCTGTCGCTCTACGACACCCCCTCTTCGTGGCACTGGCCCTCCAGCCCTGGGTTCCCTCCCGGGCGGGAGCCAGCGGATCCGGACAGCGGCGGCTACCTGGGTCACCGTCTCCGTCCATCGCTGCAGAGGGAGGGCGGTCGTGAGAGGAGGAGCAGGAGCGCAGCGGCCCGCGTCCGGCGGCGAGTCCAGGCGCTGCCCGAGTAGAGTCGGTCCCCGCCGGCGGTGCCTCTTAAAGGCCCCCGCCCCCGCCCCGCCTTTGGCCACGGGCCCGGACGCCCCGCAGTCCGAGGAGATCGGCCCCAGGCCTGAAGCTCGCGGCTCCTCCGCGGACCCAGGAGGCTGGGAAAGGTCAAGAGTCAGGTTTTCAGTTGTTGTTTTTAATGGGGTGGGGGGGTTCCGGATGGGAGCATCTCCTTTCTGGGGGCGTCGCTGGGAAGAGGAGGCGAGACGGGGAGCAGGGAAAGTCTGGATCAGGCGAAGGGTGTGGGGCACCCGGCCCAGGCGAAGGGTGGGGGCAAGAGGCTCCTCCCGGCACCCCCCGCCCTGGTTATTTTCCTATGTCGCGGCGGGGGGCGCGTCC